CAGCAGAGAGGGGTGAGGGATGGGGGGGCATGAAGGGGCAGAGGGGGTGAGGGCAGTGGCAGGCACCAGGGGGGCAGGTGGGGAGGTGGGGAGCGAGGTGAGGGGTGGGAGATCTTGCAGCAGAGGGAGAAAGGGGAGAGGTTCATCCCAGGAGGTAGCAGGGTAGTGAAGTGATGGGTGGGCTCCATGGTGCAGAGGATGTTTGGGGGAGAGGGGCAGCTACCAGGATGGCAGGGGGAGAAGGGAGGGGTGAGTTCCAGCGGGGCAGAGATGGGTTGAGGGCAGGGGCACATGCTAGGGAGGCAATGTGGGGGCAGAGGGGCAGGGGCCCAGGGGAGCAGAAAGGGGGTCGGAAGAAGGGGAGGGGTGAGGATAGAGGCAGGGGACAGGTGGGCACACAGGTTAGGAAAGGGGAAGGGAGGAGTTGGTTCCAGGGAGCACAGGGGAATGAGGAGATTGGCTGGTGCCAGGGGGGCAGAGGTGAGAGGTGGGCAGGGGCACATGCCAGGGAGACAAAGTTGGGGGGAGAGCGGCAGGGGCCTGGTGGAGCAGCAGGAGTTTGGGGTGAGAGGGAGGGGACAGGATAGAGGCAGGGGTCAGGTTGGCTAGGAGTTGAGGGAAGGATAAGGCAGGGGCAGGGGGATAGAGGAAGGTGAAGGGGGGCAGGAGGGAAGGTGAAGGGGGCAGGCCCCAGGGAATCTCTGTTGCTTTGGGGCCATGTGTGTCTGGTTTGTTGCTAAGAGCAGGTTGGTGCCATTTCCACACACACTGGGGTGCAGCCCTGCCCCACAGGGCGCAGCTGGGATTCTCCATGCTAGGGCATGGGCAGGGTGTCCAGGCTCGCTGGAAGGGGGCAGGGTAGTCGGGGAATGGGAGTTGAAGGTGCTGGGGGGATCAGGGCCCATTGATAATAAAGCTGGGGCAGTAGGGAGGGGAGAGGGCATTTCCTCACTTGCTGCCTCTCCATCTAGGAGAAGCTGCACCAGGGACCAGTCCCAGTTCACACGCGCACAGCGCATCTGCACTAGGGGTTTGCAGTGGGGCACCGACATTGCTGAGACACTGCTGTGCCAGGGGCCGTAACCCCTCCCCTCACTGGGGTCATGGATCAATAATTACAGGGTCACTGGAGCAGGGGAGCTGGACTCTGGGCTCCCAGGTGGGGCATGACCCACTGGGCTGCACAGTCAGTCTCACTCCCACGCTCTGGCCCAGTGCCCATGGCAGTGTTTAGACACAGGGAGACGTCTTCAGCAGGAGAGATTGAGGGAGCCCCACATCAGACACCCCGAGCCCAGCGGTTCCAGCCCTCACCTGACGGGGGAAGACCCGCATTCAAATTCCTTCCCCACATCACACAGGGGGATTGAACCTGGGGCTCCCAGCTGAGGGTCCAGCCACTGGGCTAAAGACTTGAAGTGAAGTGGCGGCACCTTTTTCTGTTCATTCAAACTATTCAGCAAACTCGACATGGATTCAGGAATAGTTTCAGTGGACCCAAAATATAATTTTTCAGCAAATAAACTATTTGCCCCCAAAATTACACCCAGCTCTATTTCAAATGTGTCCAAGCAACTTAGGAGCCCAAATCCCAGTGATCTGCAGTGAGTGACTGTCAACATCCCCAGAAACGCACAGGTACGGGCAGGCCAGGGTCAGGACATCAGCTATGAAACACTCCAGAGTTACTGTTAAATTTGCCCATGGTAGAAAATTTCCCCTCAGGCTCCCATAGCTCTTTTTCTGAAGGCTTCGGGGGAAAAGATTTGGCCGGTAGTAATTAGTGACATGAACAAGGAGCTAGCCTGAATGAAAGAGACCTTGGAAGAGACTAGCTGCAGATTTATGTGAATTCAGGGGACAAATTTACCTCGTAGCCGTGGACTATTTTTCCAGGTATATAGAAATAGTGTACTTGAAAGACGTAACACACCAGAGTGTTATAGAGGAACTGACGTGCACTTTTGGTCATTTCAGGGTTCCAGAAGAACTTGTGACAGAGCATGGACCACAATTCACTGACGTAGAATTAAATTTATCCAAACAAAATATGATCTTCCTCATATTACTAGCAGCCCATATTACTCACAAGCGAATGGAGAGGTTGAGAGCTGTACAGACAGCCAAGAATGTCCTTCAGCAGGAAGTTCCATTCTTTGCTCTACTGAGTTATAGATCAACACCAATAGCAGCTACTGGATATAGTGCAGCACAACTCCTGATGGGAAGACAACTCAGAACGACCCTCCCAACTTTGGAAAAGAATCTATCTCCAAAGTTGTCAGACATGTAGAGAGTAGCCAAATCCAATAAAGAGGCAAAAAGAGCTTACGGACACTTTTACAACAGGTATCACTCAAAAAGCTACAAGGCCAAAAACCTGGCCATCATGTTTGTGTCAAACTGGATGGAGAAAAAGAATGAAATACTCCAGCTGTTGTAAAGAAAAAGAATCCAACACCCAGGCTGTTATGTGATCAAGACCAAGAGAGGAGAGTTCAACAGAAGCTGTCTACATCTACAGTTTGTTCCTCAGAAAGAACAATCAACTGAGCAAACTCTACAGATAGTGGATGCAGAACAAGAAGATGACTCAAGGATTCCAGACCAACCATAGTCAGCCGTTGGAACTAATGGCCAGCCAGATGACCAAGCTGTCACCTGTTTGGGTTGTGTAATTAGAAGATCAGTACTATTCAGAGACACCTAACAGACTGATCTGAACTGAACTTCAAAGACAGTGCGATAATGTAAATATTATAAATGGTAGGAATGTAGAACTTAAAGGGGGAGATGTAATTGAACACTAAACTGTATTCTGCTGTTCAACCACTAGGTGGCACTGGGTGTAAAATACCATATTTAAGCTGACCTCAGCCATACTTGGCAGAAAATTTAAGGATTTTGTGATAAACACATCTGGTGTGTATCTGGCTGAAAGGGAAGCTCTGTAGCCAGCCCATATCTGCTACATGACCATCACACCAATGATAAAGCCCAGTGCTATTGACTACCTCTGCTATAGTCAAAGAGTTGTTCTGAACTATGACATGCTGAAGACTATGGGGAATTTTACCCGTGACATGAGCTACGTAGAAAGTTGGGGAATCAAACTCCTGTTCTCTTCATACTTCAGTGACGAGAATAAAATTATGGCCAAGGGACTTGCAGATTTCCTTGTGGCAGCAGGGCAGGAAGTACCCCTCACCTCACCCTGGCTGCAAAACATAACCAAGTGTCAGCCATGGTCAAGCCTACCTTTGAATACAGGTTGGCTCTGGGGGTGGGAAGAAATGTGTCAAGAGGGCTGGCCCTTTTAGGGAAGTCAGGGACCAGACTACCTGTGACAGGCTCCAGTAAGGGAGAATGAGACAACCCAGACCAACCTGGAAGTACACCTCTACCCTGATATAACACGAATTCGAATATAACTCTGGGGGGGGGGACTGCGCACTCTGGTGGATAAAAGCAAGTTCGATATAACGCGGTTTCACCTATAATGCAGTAAGATTTTTTGGCTCCCGAGGACAGCATTATATCGAGGTAGAGGTGTAATTAAATCCCTAGGTGGCTAGTTGGCAGCTAAATAGCTAATGAGCCTGACAAAGGGTTACCAGGGCTCAGCTGAAGGGATCCTAGGGACAGGAAGCTGCTGAGGAGAGGAGCTCCCAGGAGATCTCACCAGAGCAAGGAGCCTGGAAGGGGTATTCCTAGAGCAGTGGTCCCCAAACAGTGGGTCAAGCCCCCCTAGAGGGTGTGGAGGAACATTTGGGGGGCATGGCAGGGCCTGGACCAGCCCCCATGGGTGGTGGGAAGGGAACGCCACCCAGCCCTGCTCTGTCCCCAGCTCCACTCCGGCCCCACAGTAAGTCCCAGCTGCAGCTCCGTCCCTG